AAAGATCTAAAAGCCAATAGTTCAGAAATGCTAGAGAGGCCTTGACAGAGTCTATGGTCTAAGGAGGTGTACCAGATAAACGGGGCAGCTGGGATGTGGGGCAGAGAAGTGAAGGCATCAATGCAATGTCTCATGGACCACGCTGACCACTTCACTCTTCAGCTGTTAACTGAACAGGAAGTTCAGAGTTTCTGATCAAGTTGGCCTTTCTTCATTCTGAATTCCAATCTGCACAGGAGAGGTCCACAGAAAGCAATTAATCAGTTTGCATTAATGAGATCTGCTTTATTTTCTATTAACCTCCTTATCACATTGTAGTTTCTAATTTGTTGCTGTTGATCCTATGGTTAAAGAAGTCTAGGCTTTTTTCACCCTATTTTCTGCATGAATATGTGTAGGTGAGAATCTGAGATCACAGACTAGAAGCCATGAGTTTAGATTCAATACAGAAATATATATTTACTTTGCCAGTTCAGGTTTGTTTTGTTTATTTAAATTGTTTATCAACATTTGAAAATTCGGTGATTTCACATAAAAATCTGTATTTACAGAATATCTGTCAACATGGGACTGCCTTCCTTCCACATGCTAAGGATTAGAAGTGGCTCTGTTCCTTGGGTGAATTGTAGCTGAGCATCCTCTTTACCCTATTACCTCATACACTGTGGCCAAATTCCCTCTCTCTCTCTCTCTCTCTCCCTCTCTCTCTCTCTCTCTCTCTCTCTCTCTCTCTCTCTCTTTCTCTCTCTCCATCCTTCTCTTACACTTAAAAACAACTTAAAAATTAAAGCCTTAACTCCTAAGCATGTGAGTTTTGAATTTCTTAACTGTCTCTCTCATTTCCTTAAGAAACAAAAAATATAGATAAATGCACATATTTAGTATATGTATAATAGGTGAAACCAAATGCAGTTTAAAACACAAAAAGGTAATTTTATTTGGCTGGAACCTAATATCAATGTTTTGCAGTGTAGTTGTCTAGATAAAACCTATGTGTCAAAGCAACCTTAAGTCTTTATTCCAATAACTATACAGAATATGTTTCCTAGTAGAAAAGTACCTTGTTGACCTCCCTACTTGTATTTTCAACATTTCCTGAAATGTTTACCATTCTTTTACCTCTCATGCCTCAAGCCCTAGTTCCAAAACCATATCTTTGATGACCCAATCCCTCACTAATTTTTAGATCTCTGAACTGATGTGGTATTCATAAGTTGTAGCTCACTTTACTGCTCAATTTTATGTAGTCTTTTCTTGTTTCCTCTGTCCAGAATTATGATTGTAACCTGACATAGATGTCCATCTTTTATCAAATATTCTTGGATCTCCAAGAGCATTTAACATTTGCTGACTGATTACTCTCTTATAAATAAAACTTGGACAACAAAAAACAATAAATATCCCTTATACATGAAGTAGTTCACTGAATAGATCCCCTTTAGTTACATAATATGTAATTTTATTTTATTGTTTGCTATATTATAGCTCTTGTGTTATTGTGCTTTGAAATACCAATAACTTTAACTCTAATATTTAGGTAATAAAATTTTATGAAGAAAAATTTCATCAACTTTCAAAGAACAGAGATAAATTCACTCATTTTAAAAACTTTGTTATTGTAAAATAAAACTCACATACAGAAAACCACAGACAGCAAATGTGTAGCTCAAAATAAATTGTTTTAAGTTGGATTTAAACCATTTTTTTCTCTCTTTCCTATAAACTGGCATTTGGATCTAGAGGTTTAATCAGACTAAATCATTTTTATCTTTTTGGCAAGACTCTAGAGCAAGCAGGTCAAACTCATTTATTTGACCCATGATAGCCTTTGAGTTTGGAATGCTGACTCTACTGGATCATGTGCTTTTTGATTGGTAGGAATATGATATCTAGATGTTTCTAGTTTGGAGCTGCAAACTAGCAGTATTTGAATTCTATTACTAGTCTTATAAGTTGGAATAATTTATAAAAAGATGTTTTCCCTCTTACACAGTTGGTTGCACAGAGTTTATTTAAGAAAGACACATTAAGCCAAAACCAGTTTGGCTCAGTGGATAGAGCATTGATCTGTGGACTAAAGGGTCCCAGGTTCGATTCTTGTCAAGGGCACGTACCTTGGTTGCAGGCACATCCCCAGTAGGGGGTGTGCAGGAGGCAGCTGACTGATGTTTCTCTCTCATCGATGTTTCTAACTCACTCTCTCTCTCCCTTCCTCTCTGTAAGAAATCAATAAAAAATATATTAAAAAAAGAAAGACACATTAAATATTTGATTTTTTTTTCAAGATAATAATTTGATCATCTGTCAACCTCACAATGGACCAACTCTTATTATTTTAAAAAAACGTCTTTATGGAATCGCTGGAAGGTAGTTCCATTGTATTTATATTTTATTTTTAAAATGTATTTTTATTGATTTCAGAGAAGAAGGGAGAGAGAGATAGAAACATGGATAATGAGAGAGAACCACTGATTGGCTGCCTCCTGCACATTCCCCACTGGGCATCACGCTCCCAACCTGGGCATGTGCCCTGAACAGGAATCAAACTGTGACCTCCTGGATCAAAGGTCAATGCTCAATTACTGTGCCACACCAGTTGGGTTCATTATGGTTTTAATTTGCATTTCTCTGAGGACTAATGACAAAGGGATTAAGCAAAACAATAACAACAAAAACCATCATAGACACAGACAACAGTATGGTGGTTACAAGAAGGAACGTGGGGTGGGGAGAGGTAGAAGAGAGTAAAGGGGATAAATGGTGACAGAAAGAGAGACTTACCTTTGGATGGTGAATGCATAATACAGTATTCAGATGATATATTATAGAATTATATACTTGAACCTACATAATTTTATTAACCAATGTCATCCCAATACATTGACTAAGAATTACACACACATAGATATATATCTTAATGAATTTATCCATTTACATGTATTTGTTGGGTTTTAATCCATTGCAACTTGTTTCTTTACGGAAGCTCAGATCGTCCCTGTCGTTGGTCTGTGGAAGTCCCTTCAGGTTGATTTGTGATTCCATTTGATGTGAGCCTATTAGTCTTTGGTTGTTTCCTTTCTATCTGATATTCCAGGATGTTTCAGGCTCAACTGGTATGAGCCTGAGTCATCTCAGACCAGAATCAATCTGCTCTCCAATAAGCCCTTGCTTCTTGGAGAGGGAAATATGTTTTCAAAATCCAGGTCTTGGTGTGGGATGCTTTTTGTTATTAAGTCTGTTTCTAAACTTTTTGGTGGACAGAAATAAAACAGAGATAAAATAACTCTGAGATTTAAACTGTTTTTTCTAAATAAATTTTAGAACATAGTACTTTATGTAACCTTTTCTATTTTAAATCTGTATGTTGTTCCACATCAAGAATCCGGTTCTCAAGGCCACATGGGATGATAAAGTTAGAATGTGTTATGATTACACATTTGCTTTATCCCATTTCATGTTAGTCTCAGAATAACAACAATAATAGTACCACCATAAATAATAATTATTGAAACATTTTTGCATATGCCATCCCTATTGTCCCTTAGTTTTGTCTATGGTTGTAATATATCTTCAAAAGCAGAATATGTAGCCCTGAAAGATAAAATATCTCCCTCTTAACCCTCACTTAGTCTTAGTTTGTTAAACTTATTGTTTACCAATTAACTCAATATCTCCCCTGGTCATTTCAAATGGCTAAAACTCATTTCCTAGTAATTTTCAGGATCAGAGGAAAAATACCCTAATTACTTATAAGTTGGTAACTTAGTTTTCATTTTGTGTTGTGTTCTTCTTGTTTTATGTATTTGTTCCTCTTGATACCCTTCATTTCTAAAATTATTTTCTCATTTATAGATAATTCTTGAGTTATGCCAATTCGTTTCTGGACATTTTATTTTCTTAATGTTTGTTAGCTCATTTTGAAATAGTAAATTGCAGATTTGATGATTTTTTTGTGTATTTGTTATCCTGAGTATGTGTGTGTGAGTGTGTGTGTGTGTGTGTGTGTGTGTGTGTGTACTTGACTACAGGAATGATATTCTCCTGATTTTATTTTGTATGATATTTAACCTCAACAAATTTTTGTCTTTCTCTTTCCTGTGCTCCCAGAAGTGCATTTGCTTTTCTCAACACACAGAGCACCTGTCCTGTTGTTTTTATTAGATCAGGGCTCCTGTCTCAGCACAGCAGAGCCTGCAGGTCAAGCCTGCAGGTCCTGTTCTTGTTTGGGTCCCACTGACTAAGAAAGGTTTTCATAGATTTGAAGTTTGAAGTAGTGTGTAAACAAACAAGACAAACACAAATATGTGACAGAGGCAGAGTGCTCTACAAAGCTAAAATATTTCTTCTCTTCACCCTTTATAGAAAAGTTGGCCAGCCCCTGATGCGCACTAAAAAGTGGGCACCTTTTTCTAGGTTTTGTGATGATTCCTCTTTCCAACTTGTATCTGTATTTTCTCTTCCCTTCATTCCTATGGCTCCAGATTTCAAATCTATTTCCAGTTGTCTGTCCTCAGTGTGAGCCTCAACCTGAAAAAGAGACTGAGGGTTAATTTTGGGACTTATATTCACTGTCCTCCAACTGCTCTGCTGTACTTGCTAGCATTGCCTGCTGGTGACTTTAAGTGACCAGGTCCTGAGCTTGATGTTGCCCTTGGATTTCTCTCCCACAGAGGCTGCTACCGTGCAGGCCTGAGGTGGTTGTGGTTCCTCTGTACCCGCTGAGTTTGAGGATGTGAGAGCACACCTCAGCACCTGGTTTGGTTGAAAATGATCAAATGCCTGTGCTTTTCTATCCAGCCGTTCAATTTCTTTTAATATAAAGATACAGGAAGCTCTGAGAAGCACATTGTCACCACTGCCACCTTCTTCCCAGAATCACACTTACTTGTTTTTAATCCACAATTTACTTATTAGGTTATATTGGATTTGATTTACTCTGCGTATTTCAGTACATTAAATAAATCAACGTGTTTGTATTCTTTCTGTGTGTTTTTTTCCAGAGTCAAGTTCCCATTATGTAATCTCCCTAAAAGCTTTCAATAACGCAGGAGAAGGCGTTCCTCTGTATGAAAGTGCCACCACCAGGTCTATGACAGGTAAGCCACCACAGCTAACCCCACTCTGACACGCAGTCGGTATTTGAGTGATGGCAAAATAAAACACAGGAAATGTATGTAGTCATGTTCTGAGCCCTGCGTGTGTGTATACGCATACACAAACTTGATTATCTTTTTGGTTTTCAAATTGAAGGAAGAGAAATTCAGCCTATAAACTATACCTGGATTTAGGGGAAGAGAGCTCTCATTCTCTCTCTTCTCTGAGTGGCTTCCTATTTGGGTGCCCTGACACCACTCGTCATTCCCCCGTGCCTCCCAGCAATGCCCTTTGGCAAGAGGGTCTTGGCACAAAGGCTGCCAAATGCCGGGAGGGGCCCTTGCTTCTCTGTAGGTCCTCCCGGCTCATTGACAAGAATGACCTGCCCCTCCTGGGAGTGCATGGGCCTGGGCTGAGTCCCCCAGTGCCTTCTTCCTGAGTTGGACCTTCAGGTCACTCAACAGTGTCCAGGACCTCTGAACTGTAAAAGAATTGGCTGCTCACCGGTGTGTCACCTCCGGGAATTCTCAGGTGAGCTGGACTATAAAGGCCCCCACAAGAGAAAATGGGCTCAAAGAACTGAGGGAAGGATGGGTAAGGAAGTGAGGTCCAAGCTGTTGATGAAGACTATTTGTGAGCAAAGCGGGGCTTTTTAAAACACAGAGTCAGTGACACTTTTGTGGCCTGTCTGTGCAGGGACAGCGGAGAGTCACATGACCGCTCCAGTGGTCTTATATCTGAAATCTAAAAATAAAACCCAAGATGTTCACCTCTTTAGTGAATACTTTGACCGCAACCTCTTTCAAAATCCACAATCCTCAGACCTCAGATAACCTGTCACCTCTGTTTATGTGATGAGAATAAAGGTAGGGTTTGATAGCGAGCACCAGAGGACATGGAAAACCACTCAGTGCCTGGGAGTGAAGCCCTGGCAGGTAGGAATACAGGAACATAACATTAATAGTGGAATCCTGTGACTTCTCCTGCCACCTAAATTTACGTGAACTTTAAACAGTTTGTTTTCCACACTCAAGAGCTCCATTCATTGACTATGTGGAGAATACACAATTATTGTGTGGATTCACAGCAGTTACATGATTGTCTCCAGGGCATAGCATCACTTGATTGATTTCAGATTCAGGGAGGCAAAGTTGTTATTCCAGAGTCTCCTTGACCTTTTTGGCCTTGGTTTCAAGATCTATATTCTGCCTGAAGAGATGTGTGCAATTTGTGTATATGTCAATCTATGCCGTTATCTGTGGAGACACTATATATTTTTCTTGTGTTACCAAAGAGGCTCATGACTCCACAAAAGGGTCAATAAGAAGAATTTTTTAGTTATATAAGTTCATAGATAAATACCAACAAACCGCATTACTTAAAATTTGAGGGATGCATTCTGGAACTGAGATCCCAAAACATTCAATGTCATGAAATATATGCTATTCTAAAATTGAGAAATGGCAAGATTGAGTTATTAGCATTTCTTGAAGTAGAATTACTACTTTCAAAACATTGCTAGGAAACACATTATCCCTAAATATAGGGGGATGAGGCAATGGAGGCCCGGAGTGTAAAATACAGGATAACCTCATGGGCGGGACCTAGGGTTTCCACTTCCCCTTCCTCTCCTGCTGAGCCAGCAGCCAGGTTCTTGGAGAGGCAGCATCTCGCATTGGCTGTACCTGGGCTTCCCACAGTGTTCCCTTAGGAGGTCACTCTTCCTGCCCCTGAGGAAGGGCACTGGCCTTCTGCTTGTTCAAGGGGCAACTGAGCTTGTGACCAGGCCACACACAGTTATACTGCAGCCAGTCTTTTAAAACTCTTATTATTTTTATTTTTACTGACACTAAAGCCCACGAAAAAAAGGGCCACTTAGGCAATCAAAAAGTAAATAACATTTTGAGCAGCAAGTGGTAGTAATAGAGAAAGAATAGAATTCAAATACACTGAAGGGAAGTAGCTCAGAAGGAAGTATTCTGGAGTAATTCACTTCACTTCCCCTTAGGGTTGGTTATCAGTCTTTAATTCTCAGGATATGGCATCCCCAGAGTGGTTCCTAAAAAACCAGTGATTCCCTAAGGTTTTTTTTTCCCTGATATGACTCTAATCCTCATGGATTTGAGAAATGAAATGCTACCCAAAGTTGGATATGGTGTGAGGGGTTTTCTTAGTGAAGACAAGTCAGGAAGGGTCTGAAGAGAAATGAATAAAACTAGCTTTTTCTGAGAGACGGTTGTGATTGTGGCAGATTTGCTGTGTTTCTACACATCATGGAGAATAAAGGACAAGTAAACAGAAAAAGGTGAAGGTTCTGGGAAAAACTCTATTAATAAATGTGTCCTCATAGCATACGTGCTCTGTCTCTGAGCTTCTGCGGAGTATTCTCATGAGCAGTCTGTGAAAAGGCCAGGATAAAGGAAGTAAAAAACCACAGGCAATAAATGCTTCAGGCCAGAGTGAGTACCAGGCTCTGGTGCTTCCCACACGGGTGTGCGCACGGATGCTGGCCCTCTCTGGAGCCCATCCCATCCTGACTATATCAGAATGAGAGCAAGGGAAGTGTCACCAGGTCAAGAGGGTGGGTAGGGCTTCATATTTGCTATAAAGCCTTTTCTTTCTATTGTAATGAGGATAAGATACGTTGAGCCCAAGGAAGGGGCTGTGGAATAAGGAGGTGTGTTGTTTGAATTTGTTTATTCTCAACTGTTTTATCAATGTCTAAATGAAGTACAATCCAGGTATAAAGCTGTGTTATTTATTTAAAAAGCTCTTTCAGAATAAAAATATATTGACTGAAAAATTCACGGGCTCTGACCAAAGCATTTATTAGGAATTGAGTATGTTTCTCTTTTTAGCAGAAATTTTGAGGCTATAATTTGTCTTTTGTAATTTTTTTAAACTTTTGAACATAACCATTAACAATCAATAGCATAAGGCATGCAAGAGTATTAAAAAATGAAAGAAAGTTGTTTAAGAACACAAAGATGTTCTTAATGCATCTATCCTGAGAGAAAAAGGTTATTTTGCAATATATTTAGCATAGATGAATCTAGAGTAGTGTTTGCCACCAGCTAGAATATTCTGTTTGCTGGAAATGCTTTACATCTGTACTGTCCAATATGGAAGGCACCAGGCTCATGTAATACCAGTAAGCACTTGCAATTGGCTAGTGGAATAGAAACGAATTTTTAATGTTTATTTAATTTTAATTATTTTTAATTTAAATGATTTCTGTAACTAATGACTATTATTAAACAAGGCAGCTGTAAAAGAGGTGGCAAGTAGATTGACAAATCATGCTTTGAAAAAAATTCCCTATAAGAGTCAAGACACATGTGCCCAAGGGTAGAAATTTGTAAACTATAGAACACCATAGATAAATGCCATCAAACAGCATTACGAATTTGAGGGATGTATTCTGGAACTGAGGCTTCAAGAAACTCAATAACAAGTCATGAGGGAGATAGAGGGAGAGAAAGAAACATCAATGATGAGAGAATCATTGATCAGCTGCCTCCTACACACCCCACAATGGGGATGGAGCCCACAACTCAGGCATGTACCCTGACCGGCAACTGAACTGTGACCTCCTGGTTCATAGGTCAACATTCAATCACTGAGCTATGCCAGCTGGGCTCACCATTTCTTGAAGTAGAACCATTACTTTTCAAAACCTCACATAAGGTACCTGCAAAAGGCTACCAATATAGATTTGTAATCAGAGTGGATATAGATTTACCAACAAAATTAGATCAGGCAAAGAAACAGCACGTGGAGTAAGTCATTAATAAGCTCGGTCAAAAGGGGGTTTGTTCTTTAGAGGACCCCCCTCCCCCCCCAGTGCATAATATTCTCTTTGGAAAGTCAGCTGAGAATAGAAACAGGTGTAGGGGGGCAGCACCACCGTGGTCTATGCTCCAGCCTGCTGACCAATGGGGACCCTCCGGAGGCTGCAGTGTCTCCACTCCTTCTTCCTTGTTTCATAAATGCATTTGGCTTTAAAGGAGCCCTGCATAAAAAGGACACATGAACGGAAATACAAAAAGCCCAGGCTCTGTCATTAAATTTTAAACACACATTTTCCTTTCTTCCTTTCTCTGTTTTTTTCTTTCCTTTTGTTGTTTTTGTTTTGGGGGTTTTATATTTTGCTCCAAAGACCACAGCCCAATAAACTGCTAAATAATTCATTGGAAAACAGAGGGATGAGTAGGGGCCACGCATGTGAAATGCAGTGGACAAAGTGATCGCCAAAACCAGCCAGTAGCCACTGCTCTTGGAACCAGGCTCTTTAAAAACGTAAATTCTGCCTGTGCACTGCTTCTGATTCCCTACTTTCTAGAAGATCTCTTCTCCCCACATGGTGTCACATGCCCAGACTGAGAGCTCATCTTGTTTTTGGTTAGTGAGAATTCACATTACATGACTGAAATGTAAAATATTACAAATTTAAATGTCTTGGATATAAAATACAAGGTTCAACATTGGGCTCCACCAATTCTACAAAATAAACTACACAGGGTTTTTTTAATAGGAGCAAATAAGCCAGACACTCCTTTTTATCATGTTATTTTAAGTTATCTGAATAGTTATAATTCTGGTGCCTTCTATACTAGATCGTTGGAGAAGTAATGGGCAAAATTTCAAGAAGAAATTGACTTTTTAAATATATAACTAGAAATGGCAGCCAGGTTGATAAAACCACTCCAAGGAGATAAGCCCATTCTAGAAAATAGTCATTGTTGTAATATAGCAGCACTGTTTCTGACGAGTTTTCTGATTGAATTAATGGTATTTTTTTCTGTTCTCCTCATGTTCCCTTTCATCATTATTGCCATGCATTTAACTCATTGTGATGTGTTGCCACTGGTATTTATTTTTTAACTCTTTTATTCATGTATTTATTTGTTTGTTTCATTTGGTGGGTTTGCAAACCCAGATCCCACTGACCCAGTTGATTATTATCCTTTGCTTGATGATTTCCCCACCTCGGTCCCAGATGTCTCCACCCCCATGCTCCCACCAGTAGGTGTACAGGCGGTGGCCCTGACCCACGATGCCGTGAGGGTCAGCTGGGCAGACAACTCTGTACCCAAGAACCAAAAAGCGTCCGAAGTACGACTTTACACTGTCCGGTGGAGGACCAGCTTTTCTGCAAATACTAAATACAAGGTGAAGTTCACGTTGAGAGTATGGAATTTTAAATGAACAGTCATTTGTTGAATACTTTGTTCTCTGTGCTTCCTGACTGACCTGAGTCCTTTTGCTGCAATCTTGCTAAGTGGGAAAACAAAGCATTTTAACAACTCAGTAGCTAAAAGTAGCACAGGAATGATTATGTCTTGGGAAACAATTTTAAGGTGAGGTAAAAAAAAAATATCAAGAGATGCACAATGGTATCTAAATTCCACCAGGTGCTGTGTTTATAGGGGGGGGGGGGAGAATGATAAATAATATAGTATACAGGAATGACATTTTCCTTTGAAAATAGCAGGGCTCCACATTAATTGTCTAAATGGGTTTTAACTTTCTTTTCATTTGGAATCTGGATTGACACCAAAGGCCCCGTATTATTGTTGCAGAGGATCCCTCTGACAATGATTCTGACTGGGGATACATGGCTGGAAGATTCTCATAACATCCTTGGGAAACACTCTCAGCCATTAGCATCTACTTCCTCTGTGTAACCTTGAAACACCCTTACGTACTGAAGGAAACTCACAGTATGCACCCCCTTTAACTAATCTGAATTAGACAAGGCCCTCTATCCCTGCCTTATCACTCAGTCATCTCACAGCACCCTAAGAGCTCCTTTGAGATACACAGTTGAGGCATTGTCCTTAATAATTTTGAATCTCTTAGCAGCCGGCCACAAGAATTACAACCACTCATTATAAACCAGGCCAATCCTGTTACCACCTAAGCCTGCCACTATGTTGGGATATGCCAACCATACACAAATGCAGACAAAAGTGAGATCCACAAGTGATTGCCCAGCACCTACTTTGTCCCTAGAAGTGTGCAGTTAAACATGGTTTAGTCATTGTTACTTAATATATTATTTATAATTTTAGAATGAGTAATACACTCAGCTCCATAGACTCTGAAGAATTCATAAGCAATTCCAGTGAGATAACATATTTAAAGTATAAAGCCCACAGGCTGGTGATGTAGAATAAATAAGGTATCGAAACCAGAGAATAAATTCCCCAACAACGAGGTAAATAATAGCTCAACTCTGGCACTCCAGCTTCTTACCCCCTCTCTTTACTCCTCTCAGAATTTGGACTGCATGATACTTTATCCAAAGTTCATTCCATCAAACTGCCATCTTGCTTAATCCAGCCTCCATTCAGGGGTGATCAGGGGGATAAAAATAACCTTTGGGAACTTCTGATTGTAAAATCCTGGAGATAAAGCAAAATCTGACCAGTAGTTTTATGTCAGCCTTTCTTCATGCAGCCATGCTCAATTTGCTTCTAGTATTTCTTAACGTTTAAGTGGCATAAAATTCACATTTCATCGTAAATCAGTTTTTAGTTGAAACCACTTCTTTTAAGAAAGGGCTCTTTTGTATTGCCTTCCTGCTAGGTCAGGTATTTGGAAAACTCTCAGGCAAATCTTTAGTGTCACTGATATAAGATACTGTTGTGAGTATCCTATCCACATCCTTACGGAATTAGATTTAATACTCAACTGAGCTATAAATAGAGATAACATTATCAGATAAGACAACCAAAGAAACAGGAGAGCATTCAAAATAATATTTTTATATACAGGTTGCCCAATTCTAAGTTTACTTTAAAATGGCTACTTTAAAAAAAATGTATGATCATAATTGCTACACTTTGTTACATTCATTTCACAAAAAGACCATGGATACTTTGCCAGTCTGTGAAATGTTCTGAAAGACAATGGTTGCTCTCTGCCCAACAGTTTGAGTTCCAAAATTTCTTGAGTGAGGCAAATTATTTCAGATGAATAGGCTAATACAGCAGAAACATAATTCCTGAGTTTCATAAAGAATGCCTGGAAAGCAAGATCCCAACCCAAAACTATTCTCTCCTGGGTTGGAGTTTGGAAATAAAAATTAAAAAAAAAGATTTAAACTGTTTTCTCCACATTATCTTCCCTGACCCAAGTCATTCATTTACTAATATCCAAGCCCCCTTATCACGCATGCACAGTTTACCCCAAGAAGAAGGGTTAGAAGAAATAGTTGGGTAAGTTGAATAGTAGGGATAACTGTAGAACATACTGGTCCACTAGAAAGAACATACAATAAATTTAAATGTTATAAATAGTGGTAAAAGAATTATCTGGCTTTGAATTTGGAACTTTTCAAACCACTGTGGTGATATTACTTAATCTCATTCACCAGCTTCATAAGGTAGGCAGGGAACACACAGATAGAGGGGAATCAACACATACTTGAAATCACATGATACAGGCTCAGGAGTTGGCCTCACTCTGTCTTCTCCTTGTCACTTAACTTATATGATTGGGATATTTGTACCCACTATAGAAAGAACAAGTAAACTTCTTCATAGTTAAACATGTATGCAGTTGTGTTCATGAAGACTTGGGTAGGTTATAGGACTTAGCAAAAATTCTCCATTAAATGAGAGCTGGAACTCAGAATGAGCAGGTGCCATATCCAGGGATCGTCTCACAGGAGCATCTTTTTCCTTCATTTAGTCCCAAATCAAGCATTAGTCAGACTTTCCTATTGTCATTGCCCAAAACTCCAAATTTCTTTTATCAAATGGAGAAAGAGTCTATAATTTCTTTTCTACTAAAGTGATTAATCACATGAAGCCTTATACAAATTTTCATTCCAAATACATTCCTAAATCACCAGACATAGGGGAAGCACACACAGTTGATTCCCCTCTATCTGTGTGCCCTTCCTACATTCCTTTACCAGACATAGCATGGGCATTACAGAAGATACAAAGTTGTGCAAGATTGTCTCTGCCCTCAAGATGCTGAAAACTCAAAACAGAATTGAACATGTGCCTAAAATTATATAGCACTTTAAGCAATGTATGAAATATTGTAGCCAAAATTTATTTAATCCTTACTGTGGGCCAATGTTTCACTTGACTTATTACACACTTTAAATAATGCCATGAGGTCAGTGCTATGGTTATCTCTGTTTGATAAATGAGGAAACTGATACTCAGACAAGCAGTACCTAGGTATTCTCGGCTCACAAAAATAGCTGGCTATGATTTCTCAATAACTTCTAGGCTAACACTTTATGCTGAACAGCAACTTTCCTGAGAAAAATCAGTGACTTCATAGTGTTTATAGAATGCAAATGTGTCATTCTGAACCACAAAGGAAGACATTGTTGCTTAGTGGCCTCCAAGATGCCACTGGTGTCTATGCTTTAAGGAACTAGTTTTATGATATGTGATCCTTCCTCACTGAAACATTTCTCATGGACCCAGCTCTCCCCTTACTTATTTCCATTTCTAAGACAAACATTATAGACATTCATGATGAAAGGGAAAGAGGGCAAGATTGGAAGTTATACATCAGCATGTCAGACACTAGCTGCCCATTTTGTGTTGGATTTGATGGATTCTATTTTCCCGAGTCTACAAAGCATTTTTCATTTATTTAGGGAACATGTGTTTACAGTTATCTTAAAGAAGAGCTTCTGATAGATGTCTGTGAGGTCATCGCTCTAATAGGGTGAATGGTCACATCATGAAAATGTTATTTTTACTGTTAAATATTTACTTGGTTTTATAATAAGATGAAGGATTTCCATAGCTATCATATAAGAAGGATTAATTGTAGAGAAAAAAAGATGTCCCACACTGAAGTAGTAAGGTAGGGGATTGGTGTGACATCGGTGGGGAAAGAGAACTTCTCTAGACATAGATATATAACAAATCTAATGAATATAAACATGAAAGTAAATATTTAACTTTGGAAGAAGATAAATATATAAATACCAAGTATAAATTGATATTTATAAAAGGCATAAATTTGCCTGATCATATGGAAAATATGAATTGACCTGTGTGTTTTTTTCTGCATTACCATTTTGCTCTTTTGAGTAGGAATAAAGACAGATAATTTACTTTCTACTAAAATATCTTTAACCTGTTGTTTAAAAGACAAAAAAATAGATTCAGAAGACAAACAATATTAACACTAATGTAATGTTTTCATACTTATCCAATTTGTTGTTCCCTTCCGGAACAGTTGCTTCAACGACCAAATGTAAATGTGTGTTCAATGTGAAGTATGCACACAAAGGAACCACATGACACAACATTGCTGTGGTCCATTTTCTTTATAACAGTCAGATTCTTGAATCACTAAAAGTTTGTACCAGAAAGCCTCTTTGCAAGAGCCATAAACAGAACTCTAAAAAAGTAGTTTTATTACCAGTGAGAATAAAAATTAGTCATATTATCATGATGGTCTTTGTGAAATGAGTAACATTCAAAACTAAAAATAATTTATTATTATAAATAAGTTGAAGTTAAGTGTAAGATAACCTTAAAGAGAGAAGTGACAGGAAGAAACAGTTGGTCTTGTTGCCATGGTTTTGCCTCACTTGGGGGTGTTTATCAGCTTGCAGCCCCTTTAAGCAATATAACACCTGATTTTGTGGGTCACATTTTGGATGTCCAATCAGGCAGTGTACACCAGCTGACAGAAAGGTAGTAAAGTTAGTGCTATTTCCTAGCTCCCTGGATGCCTTTTTTTTGTTGTTGGCTTATTTTATATAGTCTTTTCACATGTCTTGATTTGTCAAGTTGATAGAGTTCATTTTCCCCCCCTCTTTGCTTCTTTCCCACTTGTATAGTCAGAAGACACAACATCCCTGAGTTACACAGCAACAGGCCTCAAACCAAACACAATGTACGAGTTCTCGGTCATGGTAACAAAAAACAGAAGGTCAAGCACGTGGAGCATGACGGCACATGCCACCACGTATGAAGCAGGTATGTGAAGAAAGGCTGGCTTCAGAATTTCTACTTTCAATATTTTGTCAAGGTATTTGCCAGGTTCTGTGGAAGGTGGAACATAGCACATTTTCAGGTCTAAATTATACTTTATTTTATATAAGATATCTTAAGCTTTATAGTTCATAGCACTTTTATATTTAATATTATCCTCCCCATTTTAGGAAAAAAGAAAATGAATTTCTAATGGATTAAGCAATCTGGTTTTAATTGGGGCATTAACTCAGGGGATCTAAATAGAAATCTTCTTTTTCATGCATTTACATAAAGCCAGACAGCAACACATTGAACTCTCTGTCCAAAGTATTTTGTGTCATTGATCAATAGTCACGGTAGGGATTTACCTTTTTGGAAAGAAATTAGGTACAAAATAAAGCATTGCGTTATAACTGCGGTCTCATGGATTCTTATCCTGAATAACCTCAGTTAGATGTGGAAGCAGTTTTGGGTGGTCATGTTCATTCTTTAGAAATAAGAGAACAAAATGGAAAACCTTTATGCAATTTGAAGTAGTTCAAACCTGGGGTAAAAGCAATTCACAATAAATTTTACCAGTCACATTTACTATGGGTCATAAAAGTTGAGTTATTACCTTAAAAGACCTGCAGTGCACTTGACATTCATTGTTCACAGGGATCCAACATTTGAAGAATACAAGGTTTAACATGCTTTTTAAAATCGTCACCCCAGAATATGTTTTCATTGATTTTATTTATTTTTTTTAGAGAGAGAGGAAGGGGGTAGGGGAAGAGAAACATTGATGTGAGAGAGAAACATCGATCAGTTGTCTCCCAAGCATGCTCTGTCCTGGGATAAACCTGCAACTTGGGTTTGTGCCCTGACTGGAATCAAACTCACAACTTTTGATGTATGGGATGGTGCTCCAACCAACTGAGCCATACTGGCCAGGGATTAACCTGCCTTTTGATTGGTTTTGTGATATTCTATCACAGGAATTTTTAAAAATATAAAAATAAAACTCTTCTCTGGAGATGTTGAATTTCTCTTTCTATTAGAATTTGTTCCATTGTATTGCAGTTCTAATTTTTATCTTTGGTTTCCATGCTAACTCACAGAGTTCACTGCATTTTTACATTTTTATAAGTACTTTTTTCCATAGAAGTTTTCTAGTTTGACTTAATTTTGACATCCTCTTCTATTTCACACACACACACACACACACACACACACACACACACACACACACATATATATATATATATATATATATATATATATATATATATATATACTCCTTCTCCTAGAATTCTTCCCTGAATGCCAATGTTCACATTTTCCTTCGAAGACTAAGTCAAGCTTAATATGGGAATAATAAAGGTTCTGTTCTTTCTTTTTACCTAAAATGAGATGGAGTGAAATATAAACCACTAAGACATTTGGTCTTCCCTGAATAAGAGAGAAGGAGTTTAATTTCCTCTTAAAGCAAAAAATTCAATCATTTTTCCCTTTCATAAACATAAAATGCACACCAGCATCTGACTTGATAAATGTACCTTATTGATTTCTCATCAGCCTCCTAAACCTTGTAGGTACTCCAATGGTGAGACAAAAAGATATTAACTTTTAGAAATGTGGTTAGCAGGAAGGGTGATTGTCAAAACAGATAATGATCTGGACAAAGGTGTAAATAGCGTGTGGATGAGATCTCTGGGTGATGATGAGAAGCAACAAGTAATTCACAAGTGTCTGCAGGTTTTATAAGTGAGAGAAGGAAATGAAGTGAATGAAATGACTCTAGGGTTTACTTCCAATTCTCCAATGACATAAAGACTATAGGGGCTGTATCGCTAGGCACTTGTGCTGAAATTGCTCATGATAAAGACATAGGTGGCAGGAGGATTCTTGAAATAAAACATTTCATTCTGCCCAGGTGATGAATACTTAACTTTACTCTAGTTAGCTTTAGTAAAATAAAAAATAACTGCAAGTACACCTGAAATAATGGGTCTTAGGAAGGGACAGGAACCAGAGGCACTCCCAGTCTTTCAAAGGGGAAGAAAGCTATCGGAATGGTTTGGCTCGATCTGTTCATCTTCCTTACTAACATTCTGTTCCCCAGAATAAAGGATCCCACTGCTAAGGCAAGAGTGGGTGGAAGGTCATGAAATTCACATGGCCGGGAAGAGCTTGTTCCCAAAGAAAAGAGCCAAGTTCTTTTCTTAATGAAGGAGGAAGGGATGGGGTACTGAACAGTCCAAATAACAAATGTCCAGCGCAATCCTCATGGCTGGAAATCTAAATCTTGAGTGTTACCTCCCATTCATGCACTTAAAGACACTCAAGCATGGGAAAAGGAGAACAAGACAACCAGAGGACAGTACTTGTCCAGTCAACTGAGACATTAATTATGAGTTTCCAATTATGTCCATTTGTAAATGTCAGGTCCTGAGACAGGAGCTTGGTATAAAAAGCAAAGACGATATAGTCTTTATCTTTGAGAAAATTATAATCTAGGAGAGAAGAAAAATATTAACCTGAAGTAACTTGGGAAATATTGGTGAATCTTTATTCACCAACCTTCACAGCTTTCCAGGTGTTCCTTTCAGAGTCATGGTCTCTACCAGTTGGTTGGTTCTAGGGTGGGGAACCTTGATCAGTGTGGCTAGTCCTGAGGTCAACCATGAAATCACTTTGGTTTTGCTGCTTTTCTGGGCTTGGAGCTGAAACCCAACTGAGGCCTAGACATCATCTCTAAGTTGACTGGAACTTTGTCTCTGTGGTCAACAGACCAGAGGCTTTGTTCCTAAGATCATTTGATGCTGATCAGAACCTCATCATCTTGAGGGCTTATGATTAAGGGAGAAGCCATGCTAGGGAGAAGAAGGCAAGTGAATCAGGTGCTGGATGAAGCCAGATTGAATAGGAAGGAAATAAAGGAGAAAAGGTCATATAAAAGACATGAAGTTTCGATGCTGTTACATCAGCCTAAAATAATACTTTTACCAAAGAAGCATATTTTAGGGGTGACAAATTCTGCTCTCTTTCAACAACATGTGGGAAAAGCTCTAAGAAAGGCAGGATTTCATACCATCTAATTCCATACCATAGATTCCTTGTCTGCTCTATTTTTAAATATTTCTTTGCCTTCTTGTTAGGAGATAACTGGTATGTTACCTAAGCAAGTTGTTTTGACCTGTTTTTAAATGTATTCTTTTCTTGAGAAGGGGCTTCTAGGGAAATATAGAATTAGATGACATTTTTTGCAATTATAAAGCCTACAGTCATAACAGAAATCTGTCCCTTGGAGACATGTAGCCATCAATCTCACAAATGTGTGCACATTAGTTTGTTCTCTTATGCTTCTCACATTTTCAGTGTGGCACTCACTTGAAAACACGTTATACTCTTTCCTCCATATTCACACATGTTCTCTTCTCCTTTGGAAGTCATTAAACTTCATTGAAGAGGAAAAAAAAAAAACATTAATTTCCGTATTTGTGTGTGTTTGCTTCTTTAATCCAAATACTTGAGAGGAATTGTAAATGGTAAAATCAGCATGATATACTGCATGATAGATGCTGAGTGTCAACATCGTGATTAGAAGTCCCATAAATGTCTGTTTTCTCTCACATTCGATGACAAGGCCTTGTCTCTGTTCCCCTGGCAGCCCCGACCTCTGCTCCCAAGGATCTGACAGTCATTACTCGGGAAGGGAAGCCCCGTGCTGTCATTGTGAGCTGGCAGCCTCCCTTGGAAGCCAATGGGAAAATCACGGGTAAGCATCTCAGCTTCACTGTGAGCGCTGCTCTGCTGGGCACGTGATGGCTCACCGTGAGTGCACTGCTCATGCCTGTTGTGTATTAGTTTTCTGTCTAGCATCTTGGTTGACTTCCTGACCCTTTCTGATGGTCTCTTCTTGCCCTCACTGAGGGCACTGACCGAAGAATTCTTTGGTGCATACAAATAGGCGTGTGTTCGTGTGCGCGCGCGCGCGCGCGCACACACACACACACACACACACACACACACACACACGTGATTGGAGTTGCTTTCTGAAAGATGTGTACTTCAATTAGTATAGGCCTTTTGTTTAGGCTGTGCAGCATAAGGACAACCTTCTAATGGAAAGTCTCTGAGCCTGAGTGACTAAGAAGAAGCTGTTTGGCAATTATAAAACACAAAAGACACCTAATGACCATGTATTTTTGTGTGACACATAGGAAAAAGGAGGTTTGTCTGGGCAGGTTTTCATGTATGTAGCTTGAAAACCCGCTTTTAGCTTTTAGCTTCTTACTTAAATCCTAAGGTTCAGAAAACTCTTAATGTTGACTGACAGAAATTATACTTAATGAATATTTCACAGTGACAGATTTTATTTTACCAAATATTGCTGATAACATCAATGCCTAATTAAAGCATCCATTAGAAGCCTGTAATGTTAATTTAGTATGAAAAATATAATGGAGTTCTATCAGGGGTTTTGCATTTAAATGATCACTCTAGTCTTTTAATAGATGTCTCCATAGCATATAATTATTATGAAAAAATATTATATAACTAAAAATGGGCACATTATAGTCTAATTAACTTGCACCATTGTGTTGGGTGCATGTAAGAGTCACTCCTTTTTTCTTTGCATATGATAAGTGGATAGCATGCTTATAAATTAGCAAAGTAATTCAAACATTCTGTGATGCAGAGACAAGCTTGGGGATTATAGTTCAGACAACATGTACTTTATGTAACTTAGTTTCTGAAATTTACAAAATGCAAAGGTAATATGTGAAAATTTCAAATGCGATGCATATATAAGTTGAAGACTTGTTTTCTCTAGGAAATTGCTCTTAATGCAATAGCTCATAGAATTTTCATTTGAGCCAACAAATATGGGAAAAGAAGAGGAACATAACATCTTCCCTAAATCTCAGTTGTCACTCTGCCAGGTTTTTTTAAATGAAAGTTGGTTCATTCTAATTTCTTCTTATTTTCCCCTCAACTTTATGTTCTGTTTTTATTGGTTCCATTCCAGTACTTTTGTAGATTTTGATTGGTTTACATGATGACTATTTTATTATGTGACAAACTGATTTATAAGCACATGGTAAATCAACAGATAATAAGTTTAAGAAAAAAACAAAATAGAACTTTTCTAAATTAAAACAAGTTCTGGTGGATTTTTTTTTTCTTAAAGGATAAAATAAGTCATATACTACCCAATTCTCCACTCTTTTTAAGTAAATCTCATCAAATTGTTGATGTAAACAATAGAAGGTGTTTTCAACTCTGAAAGGCAGCTTTATTTTGCTTTTCAAGATTAAAAAACAGGTAGAAATGCAATTAATCTAAGCAAAACATTTAGTGTGCCAAAATCACAGTGTATGTGTAAGAGACCTTGTCCACCTATTTTATGTAGAGTTGTATAATAGTGTCCACCACTAAAACTTCATCCTCTTATAATGGTATGCAGTTGTGAAGGCCAAGTTGTGATTTTTAGCTTGAGATATTTTGACTCAATTCAACAGAGAGCAAACACACAGTGCCCATGAGACAATTTCTATCCTATACATATTTTGATTCTTTCAACCAAATCCCTTTTAGAAAACAGGATGATAAAATATTCAGAATAGAAGGCCATTAGGCAGAAGGCCCAGGTTTGCACTTTCTGTTTCCATGAAAGTGCAGAGGAAACTGTGAGCTCTTTCCCAGTGTGCCAGGCACCTGTGAGCCTCCCTGGAAGAGTTTGCTTCCTTCCCACATTCCTATTTCCTTATTTTCCTAAGTTCTTGCATCTGCACAGCAGTAGGACAGGGTGGTTAAGAATTGAAAACCTGAGCTGCTGAGAGAGATGCCCAGGCAAGATATTTAACCTCCCAGAGTCTCACTTTCTCATTTATAAATTAAGGGGAAAGATAGAATCTCTTTTGTAGAATCATTATATTAAAGGGCCTAGATAAGTCTCTGAGGCCCAGTACATACTGAAACAAATGAGCTATTATTATTCCAACTTGAAATCCATTCTAGGAAGAGGCTTTACTAATGGGCTTTTTGCATGGAACCCAGTTCATCAATTTGTAAATATGTATACTTCAAAAAAAAAGATTAAACAAAGAAAAGAGGATGAGGGAGAAGACCTAGATAATTCTGGTGCTTAAATTCCTTGATCATCAGCTGGCAGCTTAAGGATCGGGACTGACATTTTCAGAAGAAAGTGGTTCAAATTGAATTAAGCGTTTGTTACATGCTTGGCATTCTGTTAAACACTTTGCTATTATAAGTGTTCATATATTCCAATTATTCCACTTTGAAATGAAGAGACAAGGGACTTCTCTGGGGTAACTGACTCCTAAAATCAAATAACCACAAAGTAGCAGAGCTAGCTGGTATTCAATGAAAAGGCCATGTTTTCAAAGCAGCCCCCAAACACCAAAGGAGCAAGAGGCAAAAGAATGAGTCAGTCAAGTCTAGCTTGTCGGTTAATGAGTTGAATAGGAAATTTACTTACTTATAATACATAGCATAACCAGGTCCTGGCTGCAGGATGGTCAGATTTCCACATCTTTCACCCACTAGATCAACCTCTTTTTAGAAATGGAGTTATGTGCTAGGCAAGGAATGTGTGTGTGTGGGGGGGGGGAGGGTAGATCAAGAGGCCTGATAGCAGGAGTCCCTGGCACTCTGGTGAGCCAAGAGATAGATCAAATCAGGGGCCCCTTGCCTCAGAGGAAGGATTAATGAAAATTTCATGATTAGACAGCTGTCTCTGTACACATTCCAGGGTCCATTAAAGGGAATAGGTGGGAGGTAGGGGATGCCAGAGATCTGGCCAGGTTCATTCATTCATTCAGAAGTTAAGCTGGTTATTATTAGCAAAATAGAATCAAGCTAGGATTTAAAACTCAGATTCCTACTCTTAATTATTATACTATGCTGTACTTCAACTTCTTAGTATTCAACTGGTCCAAATCAGTGATTTTCAATTGATTTATGATTTAATTTTTCTGAAAAAGGATTGGGTATGCTATATTCCAAGTGATTTTAATACAGCTAGTTGTGAAGCATTGATCTAAATACATGCAGCATCCAACATGACTTAAAATCAGAGATCAAGGTAGATAGAGAGTAGGAAGAGTTAGATTTTCAGAGATTTTCTTATTATTGCTAATGGTTATACTTGCTTTTTCTGCATCTCCAATTCCTATTGCTTCAAATCCTTTTGTAAAATTTACCTAACCATTTTTCTTCTCACTTCTAGGCTATAACTTAGTCTTGCTAGCAAATATTTCTTCCATCTGTTCCTTAAGTGTTGCTTCCAGAATTCAGATCATTTTATTCTCTTTGTTACTTTCTCTGCAAAAGTGTCTATATGATACCCATGGCTTCAGTGAACACAAACATCTCTTAAATTTCATATTAAAAGCTCATATTGCCGAAACCGGTTTGGCTCAGTGGTAGAGCGTCGGTCTGTGGACTGAAAGGTCCCAGGTTCAATTCTGGTCAGGGGCATGTACGGCAGTTGCGGGCACATCCCTGGTAGGGGGTGTGCAAGAGGCAGCTGGTTGGTGTTTCTCTCTCATCGATGTTTCTAGCTCTCTATCTCTCTCCCTTCCTCTCTCATCGATGATTCTAGCTATCTCTTTCCCTTCCTCTCTGTAAAAAAAATCAATAAAAATATATTATATTGTATATTTCCACTTGCCTGCCTTATTGTATTCTATTTCCCAACCTCTTTTTCTCCCCTTCTTTCTTTCTCTCTCTCTTTTTGTCTCTCACCCACCATTACCAGCTAAATAATGCACTATTATATTCAATAACAGGTTTTAAGACCATCCAGGAATGTGGACCCAGGTGGGCACTCTCACTGAATCATAATTTTCTGTATTATTTTATTACCATTATTTACAAAGCCTCCAAGTTCACCTGGTTGTATATGTTGGAAATTTAGTCATCTTGACTCCTTTTTTATCTCCTCAACATGTAAATCATGAAGTAAAATCAAATGCTTATAATAGAGGGCTGGAAATTTTATAAGAACAGGTTTCAGATTTTGTCCAATGCCTTCTCTCTAGTAACAATATTTTTAACACATAATAGGTAATGAGTAAATATTTATTGGATAGAATAATCATTGAATTGCTATTAAATCTATTGTTTGACTTGAAACCAACAGTTCAGCTCTTCCAAATATGATACCTTCCTTAAGATGTATTAATATTTAGAAAGAGATAGAGATCCGAAACCAGTTTGGCTCAGTGGATAGAGCATCGGCCTTTGGACTGTAAGGTCCCAGGTTTGATTCCAGTCAAGGGCATGTACCTTGGTTGCAGGCACATCCCCAGTAGGGGGTGTGCAAGAGGCAGGTAATCGATGATTCTCTATCATTGATGTTTCTAACTCTCTATCCCTCTCTCTTCCTCTCTGTAAAAAATCAATAAAATATATTTTTTAAAAGAAAAGAAAGAGATAGAAAGAAAGGAAGGAAGGAAGAATAGTTGGAGCATTTACTAAATAGTATGTAGAAGGTAATTTAATAGAAATATCCCAACATATTAGATTCTTAAAATGCATATCTCATAGCAACTTTTTCTCAGATGATAAAATTGAGACATACTTTGATTTAGCAAGTAGTTCAAAGTTACAAAGCTAGTCAGTGTTAGAGCTGTGACTTGAGGTCAGGTATCCCTGAATCCATTGCCTGTTATTTTTTTACCAAAAAGGAGGAAGAAATGGTTCCTTCCTTTCTTATGTATGTATTTATATACAAGATTATCATAATCATTTTTTTAAGCATAAAGGCTTGGACTGGGTTGATTTTCTCGTTGGTAGGGGTCATCTTATTCTTCCTTGTGATTCACAGTACACCTGAGTCTTGGAGGGAAGTCAGTAATGAGTGACAAGAAATATAGAAGAGACAGAAGAGAGGAGAGAGGTGGCATTGAACACCTCTACCCTTTGCTTCTGGAATTACAACTACCCATTTGTATAAATAGGGCCAAAATAATAGATATATGATGTTAAATTTTATATGTATCTAGACAAATGTTATTCCAATGTGGGAATGCTCAGATGGGTTAGCAATCCCAGCTCTTAAACCCATGAATGGATATGAAACTTCATTATATAGCCAGCATGGTGGGTAAGAGACAAAAATGAAGTAGAAAAAAGTAAGAGAAAACAATGAAGAAAAACAGATACTTGGACACAGAGAAACAAATATAGATATACAGAAAGGTAGTGAGAAACCAATGAAATTGTTCCAACTTATGTGGTTATATAGAAATCTGTAAGGTAAGACTTTTAATACTGGATTTAATATCCTCCAGTCATACCAAACTCACGTATTTAAATGAAATTATTTGCTTTCTCTATGGCCAGTTTTTATTTTTGAGTAAAGTAATGTGTTTCTATTCCCCGTCTCAGTTCTCAAATTTACAAAAAATAAAATTTAAAAAGTAGGGTTGCCCACCAATATCTGTTCAAATACAGTATGAAATGGTCAGAACCTGACTATTTCATACGGTATTTGAAACCTTACTTGATTCTAGAATTGTCATTCTAAATGCTGAATTAAATACTTTTTATATATTTTAATCTCATTTGATAAATGATGAAAATTCAGGAAAAGTGTAGCTGACTAGGATGGGAACACAATTCTTCGAACTTTCAGATGTGTTGTACATTTAAAACAGCCCATGAAAACTAACAATTTTATTAAATGTCATGAATGTAAAACTTAAATGCTTTCTGACTAACGTATTTCATTCAATAAGTGAGTTTCAACACCTAGTATGTGAAGATATTTTATTAGTTTTTTTAATAATAAAATGTAAATAAGATATGGCTCCTGGGCTAAAGAAATGTCCTTATTCTCTTGAAGATGACATGCACATAATAAAAGCTAAATAAATAAATAAATAAATAAATAAATAAATAAAACTTCTACAAATATCACGGTCTTATATTCAATACTAGTAGATATAATTCTTTGGGGACAAGAATGGAGGATTTTCTCACTCAAAGAATATCAGATTTTATTGATGTTGTTATGGGGGCTGAGTTATAAATGAATGGATGCCTGTGAGTCAGACACAACTTTTTTATCCAATGATACTTCATCATCCCTTTTGAATTATAATCTTCCACTTTTAATATTAACCAGAGAGAGGAGTCACACAGTCTTTATAAGTTTTGCAGAATTCTTTTTTTTAAATATATTTTATTGATTTTATACAGAGAGGAAGGGAGAGAGATAGAGAGTTAGAAACATCAACGAGAGAGTCATCGATCAGCTGCCTCCTGCACACCCCCTACTGGGGATGAGCCCGCAACCAAGGTACATGCCCTTGACCGGGATCGAACCCGGGACCCTTCAGTCCCCAAGCCAACGCTCTATCCATTGAGCCAAACCGGTCCCGGCAAGTTTTGCAGAATTCTTAAACCTTGGTCCTTTACCTTTCCCTGAACTCTCTGCATCTTCAGACATTCCTATCTGCAGTGTCAACAGCTCAACAATTGCCACACATCCACTAATACACAGATCCCACATATCAACAAAAAAGGTGATTCCTCACCTTGCTTGAACACAGAGATCATCTGGGGTGCCGATCACTGGGATTACATTTAGCCTATTGTATTATCGGTTACAATAGCACCACAAATTTAGCACCTTAAAGCAGCACACATTCATTACCTCATATTTTTTGGTGGTCAGGAATCCAAGCACAGCTTAGCCATATACTCTACTTCAGGGGCTCTTACACAGCAGCAATCAAGGTTTTAGACTAGACAGATGTCTCATCTGAGGCTTGACTGGGGAAAGATTTGCTTCTAATTCATGTGGTTGTTGGCAGGATTCACTTTCTTACTGGCTCTTGATCAGAGTCAATCCTCACTTCCTTGCCATGTGGTTCTCTCCATCTGGCAGCTCGTCCCTTCAACGCCAACATAGGAGAGAATCGCGAGTTTGCTAGCAAGGCAGAAGTTATAGTCTCATGTAACATCATCATGAAAGTGACAGTTCGTCTTATTTGCTGTGTTTTATTGGTTATGCTCAGACAGGGAGGCTTATATAAAAGTGTGACTAGCAGGAGATTGGAGTCTTTGAGGGAGCTAAGACTTTGTCTGCAATACCTATTACATCAAAATGTTCTTTCTTGGGACCTGTATTTTTTAACGTGTACCCAGTCACCAGGTAATTCTTATAATTAGGCAGATTTGGGAAACAATAAGCTTGGTGAAAAGTGAAAGCTAAAGCAAAAGAAATATAGGTTTTTATCACTGATCTGAACTGAAGAGAAATGGACTCCTGGATCTTGGAATTTGTAGGAATTCTTAATCCTGCAGAATCACAAAGAAAAAAAAAGCCAGTTCATTGTCTAGAACTCATTCTCCAAACCCAAGCATAATTGAGATTAAATATGGCATTAAGTGACAAATGATTAAAAATTATATAAAAGTTATTTTACTTTACTGAAGTGTATTGCAAAGTCTACAAAAAAAAATTTTCACTATAGATGAAGGTTTTATATGCTAGATGTAGCTTGAACTAGACCTAGGCAGATGGGTAGAATTTGGATGGAAAGAGGGAAGAATAAGTGGTAGGTGAGAACAAACAAAGTAGGGCAGGGGTCTGCAACCTTTAAGACATAAAGAGCCACTTGGACCCGTTTCCGAAGGAAAAATAACCTGGGAGCCGCAAAACCATTGCGACATTTAAAACAAATATAACACTGCATATATTGTTTCTTACCTTAATGCTATATACCGAATCATACAGTTAGCTGTCAATCTAAAGAAAAAAAGGACTTTTTCACTTAACAATGTAAAATATATTTTTGCAAATTAATAGCTAATTAAATATTTAATTTACCTGGTTAATGGGATTTTTGCTCCTGAACCTCAGTGCACAGTGTCAGCACATCAGGGCTGTAAGACGTTACCTTCATTTTCACACAGGCTTGCACGTTGTCAGAGCCGCGGTGAAGCTTCAAAAGAGCCGCATGCGGCTCTGGAGCCGCAGGTTGCCGACACCTGGAGTAGGGAGACCTCATTGCAGTCCACCTGAAGTAAATGTGTGTGTTTTCATGTAGGTAGTGCGCATGGTTATTGGGGAAGGAAAATGAATCTGAATCGAAGAATCTTGTGACATAACCACAAAAGATTTATGTGGAGGGTCCCCAATCCAAACAAGATAAGCAGGGCTCAAAAGGAAGGAACAGGTCAATCAAAGACTGCTATTTTAAAAAATATGCTTTATAAAGAACATTCAGGGTATAAGAATAGAACTAGGGACATTTGTGGCCTAGCTGATATAGCCATCTGTGCAGAATTTTAACAAAAATGTAGGCTGGCACTATGTCCATAGACCAAAGACACCTATGATGAGCTATTTTACAGTGTCACCTGATAGTCTAGAACAAAATTCTGAATTAAGGTGTTTAAATAAAATCTAATTTTTATTATTATAATAATAATATAATTATAATAATATAATAAAAATATAATAATATATAATTTTGGCTAAATGTAATATTAGAATATTAATATTTTATAGGTTTACTTGGGTGCATGTCAGACTATCACCACTGAGTACCCTACCAGTATTCAAGTAACATCCCCTAATACAGAGGGCAAATGATACTATCCAATGCTATATTATTAACATTTGAAATAGTAATTAAATAACCTACAATTATCCAGAAATACGTTGTCTTTTTTTTTTTTCTAGGTGGGATGGACTAGGAGAAGTAGAGTTGTATTTTCAGCAAAACAGTAGAGGATATGATCCTAGCTTTTTATTCCCTAGCTTGGGTCATCTTTAACTTTATCATCTTCGAAAGGAAGCAACAGTGCTTCGGCCAGCCTCATGGTGCTATTACAATAAACATAGCTGATCATTTCTTTTATAACACTTTAAACAAGCATGGCGTTTTATACTTCTCAGAGTATTTTTATTATTTAAGCATAAGCCAAAATAAATGCTCCTTGTTTTCATTATTGGAATATGGTAAACATTATACAGAGTTGTTATCTGTGTTTTACATGTTTGTCATGCTTATATATTAAAATAAACCAATAATTAGAATTTATAGGCATCAGAATCCTCACACTTTTAAATGACAAGTAATTTTTTTTTATTTCTATCATGCCATTTTCAGGTTCTGCACACTGAAGCAATTATTTATTTAATCCTTGCAATATGAAAAAAATATATTATTACTTGCCAAACCCAAAGCTGTAGTTTATAGATTGTGGATACATAATATAATAATTGCAAATTACAATTGGGAAACATGGATGTTTCGGAGCAGTCATAGAGCAGGCTACTAACAAAGTTTGCGTTCATCTATTTATGCAGCTTACATCTTGTTTTATACCTTGGACAAGAACATACCAATTGATGACTGGGTTATGGAAACCATCAGTGGTGATCGCCTTACTCACCAGATCATGGATCTCAATCTTGACACTATGTATTACTTTCGAATTCAAGCACGAAATGTGAAAGGAGTGGGGCCCCTCTCTGATCCCATCCTCTTCAGGACTTTGAAAGGTTTGAATCATTTTTTGCTATTGCCTCTCTTTTCCTGTGGGATTGTTATGAATTTCCTTCTACCGTCTCTGTTGGCATCATGACCACATACGGGCATTACAAAAAAACTAAAATGCAAATTAAAACTGCAATGAGTTATCACCTCCTATTATTCTACTGGCCATCATCAAAAACGCAAGAGATAACAAGTGCTGGCCATGATGTGGAGAAAAAGGGAATCATGTACATTGTTGGTGGGGTTGTAAATTGGTGCGGCCACTATGGAAAGCAGTATGGAGGTTTCTCAGAAAATTGAAAATAAAACCATTATGTGATCCATCCAGTAATTCATCTTCTGAAAATCTATTCAAAGGAAATAAAAACACTATCTGGATATGCTATCTACACCCCCGTGTTCATAAGAGCATTATTTAAAATAATCAAGATGTGGAAACAAACTAAATGTCCATCAGTGGTTGAATGGATTAAGGAATTGTGGTATACATACACAATAGACTATTATTCAGCCATAAAAAATGGGAATTCCTACAATTTGTGACAAAATGGTTAGATCTCAAAGGCATCATACTAAGTAAAATAAGTCAGACAGGTAAAAACAAGCACTTTATTATTTCACTTCCATGTGGAATCTAAAAAGCGAACAAACAAAAACACATCCAACTCATAGAAAAGAGATCAAATGTTTTTGTTATGCGAGTCAAGGGATAGGCAGAGTGAATGAGAGGAAGGTAGTCAAAAGGTACAAACTTCCAGTTATAATATAAAGAAGTACTAAGGATGTAATGTACAACGTAAGGACTACAGTTAACATTGCTGGATAACATATGTAGGAATTTTGTTGAGAGTTGGTTCTAAGAGTTCTCATCACAAGAATTTTTTTATTATTTTATTTTATATATATGAAATGATTTATGTTAACTAAACCTTTCTTAAAAATTTTATTGTTGACACTATTTCCTCTCCTTTGCCCACCTCTACCCAGTCCATACTTACCCTCATGGCCTTCATCACACAGTTGTCTGTGTCCATGGGCTATGCATATATGTTCACTAAACTTTTTATGGTAATTATTTCACCATATATGTAAATAAGACCCTCAGGCCACACATCTTACACTTATACAGTGGTAAATGTCAATTATTTATCAATATAACTAGAAAACAATATGAAAACTAAATAATTAAAATGTATATTTTATTTCTTAAGCCAGCATGTCTTAGGAAGATCTGTTGTATTTGCTGCATTTGCTGCCTTCCGCAGAAGGCAGGCATTTCAACTGACTTTTTTCACTAATAATCACTGGACTTTTGTATTGATTTCTTGTATGTTGGTTCCATTTGAAATATAATGAAACACTTTAGACATTTAATGTGAGGGAAGAAAAACTAAAAAGTATTGAATTACTATGTGGATGGCATATTCTTGCCAAATTTAAGCATCTTCTTTTAAGATCTATTGTCCTTATACATTAAAGGATATTTTGATATGGCAAGGTAGAAAACTTAAAACAAAATGAATGTGTTTATTTTAAGGAGGGAGGTCAGCAACAACAATTTGCAGGATGATTGGAAGAAAACCCGCATGCTTGCAAGAATAAAAATGAGCACTCAATTCAAGGAGAGTTATATGTTCAGCACTTCGTTTAAGGATAGAAAAATACTCAGGCCCAGGAATAGTATTTACATCAAAATAATCTTCATACACATATTTTTTAAAGCAGAATGTTATTTTTGTTTGTTGTGTGTGGGGTTTTTTTATTGGTTTTTTTTTTTTTTTTTTTTTTTGAGGACAGATGATTTCAAGGGCTTCTATCATTCACTAATTAAAAATAATTTCAATGTTGTATAGCTGATATTTAAAGATCGATACTTAAGGAATGATGTATCTTGTACCAAGGAAGGATTCTTAGCTCTTGGATCTGACCACATTGTGCCTCTACATCTGGCTGAAAACTTGATGTTACAGGATGACAAACAACTAAAAAATTAGAAACGCATGTCTCACATTTTCACCCAGTCATCTAACGTACTAACGAAGAGTTTTAGAAAAATTGTATAGTCTATTTCTCGATTCTCCTAGGGATGGTAGCCTGATAAACAGTGGCCTTTTGAATTCTGTGAGTAAGCTATTCAAAAGCTGGATTTGGTAATAGCACATCTGAAAGTTTGCCAGGAACACACAAGCAAGCATTCAGCCTGAGCCTGTGATGGTTCTTAATGACAGAGTAGAAGTTGGGAGGGAGATAGGAGGAAATGAGCTAATCTTTGTCTATCCAGGTTTTTAGGACTTCATGTCTAAATCAGGTTTCATTCCAAATGAGCAATTGACAGGAAACTGGTTATTCATTTTGTGGGAGCATGAAATGTAACTCGATAATGTTTCACAAACGCTTCATCTTTATCTACAGACAAGTGCCAAATTAATTTCATGCTCACAACGTGTGCCAACTGGAGATCTCAGAAAGGGTTTAAAAATGACTTAAGGCATCCAAATGTGTTAAGCAGCAGAATGATGAGTTATCACGGGATTTACAGGCCCACATGGATAATCATCCTGTGGATTGTGTAATGAACTCCCTACCTCATTTGGTACTGTTTACCCTCAGTGTCCTACACTCATCTATTAAATGATCTCCAGCATTAAGAAGGAATCCAGGAATTTGCTCTAAGTCGTAATAGTCCATAAAAATCATTTCTAATATCACAATTGGAATATTTAATATTGTCTATCCTATGTATGTCATGCTCCATTAATAACCAATTAAAAGTTTTTTAAACAGATCCTGCTCATATGTAGTACACTGAGTTTTAGATATCTTGAGTGCACTTGAAATTATATAGAAACAGAGGCCCAGTGCATGAAATTCATGCATGGGGGGGGGGGGGTGTCCCTCAATTCAGCCTGCACCCCTTCAATCTGGGACCCCTCGAGGGATGTCCAACTGCCCGTTTAGGCCCAATCCTAAATGAGCAGTAAGACATCTGTTTCACAATTCAAAACTGCTGGCTCCCAACTGCTCGCCTGCCTGTCTTCCTGATTGCCCCTAACCACTTCTGCCCACCAGCCTGATTTCCCCTTACTGCCTTCCCCTGTAGGCCTGGTCATCCCCTAACTGCCCTCCCCTGCAGGCTTGATCACCCCCAACTGCCCTCCTTTGCAAGCCTGGTTCCTCCCTACTGCCCTCCCCTCCTGGCCATCTTGTGTCCACATGGGGGCAGTTATCTTTGACCACGTGGGGGCAGCCATCTCGTGTGTTGGAGTGATGATCAATGTGCATATTATTCTTTTATTACATAGAATATTTATATCTCCCATCTTTTAAAATAATCAATATTCTACATGCATGCATCTTACCTGTCACTTAGGATGACAAATGTTCTAAGGTAAATAAATTACTCATTGTAAGAGATTTGAAGCCACATGAACCAAATTTACACTAAAGACATAAAATCACACTATTGTTCTCTGATTTAAGATTTTCATTTTCCAAAGCTGCTTCAAAACATAGGGCCACTGTTCATCAGACTGTAACTTTGACAAATAGAAAGGTTTGCCTATTCTCCTGAAGCTGAGGAAGCTCAAGGTAGTCTACTGCAGCGTTTTTCAACCGCTGTGTGCCGCGAGATGTTGCCTGGTGTGCCGTAGGTGCAGACAAGACAAGAATTTTATAATTTTTCACTATTTTGTTTACTTAATATTTCATAATAAAGTAATTATAAAATACTTTCTTTGTGTTTTTTTGATTCCTATTCAAGAGAATTACTTTATATATAGTCAATATAGGCACAGAGTTAAATTTTTTAACATTTTCTAATGGTGGTGTGCCTCGTGATTTTTTTCATGAAACAAGTGTGCCTTTGCCCAAAAAAGGTTGAAAAACACTGGTCTACTGGGTAGCAGGCAAGTGCTTTGTTGTAATCATGCCCCTCAGGCAAGTGCCCTCAGGCTTATATTCAGTCTTTGTAAGATAGACACATCTTCTACTTGAGACTGGAGTTTTATCCCTTTTTGGTTTTAGGCACCAGCCAGAGAGGTACAGGAAACTCAATAAGTAATCACTGGTTAATTAAAGAGACATTTATAATTAAAAATGGATTAAGGTATTATACCCGTTATGCACATGGTATAGGTGATGTATCTGTCTCTTTCTTTGAAATGTTAATTAAAAGACTCTGAAACTTGATTCTTGACCCCACAGGATCCTGCAAATAGCCACCTCCCTTCCCCAGACCCTCCCCATTATAATACCTACATACTGTTGAACCCTTGGAAGATGAATAAGAATCATGTTTATCTCTGCCTGTCACATGGCTATTTCTTCCAGTAAAGTAAGCTTCTTCCTGTTGGCCTGAAAAGTAATAGGGAGGATGGATGAAGTAGACCAGTGGTTGGCAAACTCATTAGTCAACAGGGCAAACTATCAACAGTACAACGATTGAAATTTCTTTGGAGAGCCAAATTTTTTAAACTTACACTTCTTCTAACGCCACTTCTTCAAAATAGACTCGCCCAGGCCGTGGTATTATGTGGAAGAGCCACACTCAAGGGGCCACAGAGCCGCATGTGGCTCGCGAGCCTAGTTTGCCAACCACAGGAGGAGACCAATGAGGATTTCTGTGGAGGGACTGAATCAACTCAGCAGCAGAATATGGTGTATTCTCGGGGGATCCTTAATCATCATTCTGTGCACTTCTTCCATCCAAAATATAGAACTGAAAGCTCTGTATCAGAATACAAAAAAAGCTTTAGTCTTCAAAGAATTTTGTGACAAAATCCATTATTTTCTTGACAAATGACAGAAGCCATTAAAAAGTCAAAGTACAAATTACAATACTTTTAAGCCATTATTTGCCTTTAATAAAAAGTAACTATTGGAATATATTTGGTCATTGTTGGAAAGTACTCTTGAGTAGATAACCTTTCTTGAGTCATTCAAAGTTTCCCAAGCAATATTCAGCCCAGATTTGCTAACCATAAAGCAAATCCAGAAGATAAGAAGAGAGATCAGATTGTCCACAATAACATTTACTTGTCACTTGCTAAAAATTGCTTAGACTACAGACAATGCATGTATATAATTAAAGACAAAGGGAGAGATCAATAAAAACAAGATTAATTTTTGTTTGTTTTATATTATTGCAAACAGTTCTCCCCTAAATATGTATTACTGCGTATGGTAGTTTCTCAAGCATGTCTCTTCTGGCTACCAGACATTTATCCTTCCTGGATTGTGTGATCAGATATGATCCTGGCATATCATTCCCCATTCTTACTGGAAAACCAGAATGGCATTTCCTACAACATGACGCCCATCCTTCAAAGCTATAGTAGGGTTCTAGCCTTGTCTATAAAGTACAGTTAATTCAGTTGCCTATTAAAAGCACTTTTCATCAAAAACACCTTAATACTATCATAAAATGTATTTTGAGGTGCCTTTACTCTTCAATGAGAAATAGGAGAGAAGATCAAGACAAAAATTAAATTGTAATGATTCTATTAGAGATTATTAGATTAGCCTGGTGAATTAAAGAATGTTAATCTTGAGGAGATACAAAGACATTTATCAAATTTATATAAAGTTTACAGAATCTTACTGTAATAAACACTTGTATATAGCATTTTTTAAAGACTCATTCAGAATTTAAAGTCTGCTTTTTATTAAGATACCTTTTCTAATTTACCCTTTTCATATGTCGACATATTAACATAAAAGAAAGGGACCTGGGGAGTATTATGCTTAACTAAATCACATGCATTTTTATGGTTATTGTATTTTTAATGAGACCTGTATGATGATCATTCTGAGTTTATGGTTAGAGGAATGTGACAAATAATATATTTTTTAAGAACACGTTTATACAACAAAAACATTTTCATTTTTTCTTCTAATTATTTAATAGAAATAATTACATTAACCTTGATTCCTTATTTTTTTCCATAGGGCCTTGGCCTTGATTTAAGAACTTGCTAACAAAAACTGTCAACTTAAAATGTCAGCTTTCTTTCTGGGAACTGTCAAAATCTAATAATATTTCTTTTTCTCCCCACAGTGGAACACCCTGACAAAATGGCTAACGACCAAGGTACGGTGTGGCTCAACCTGTCACGTTTTTCCCTCCTTGAGTCAGTCCTGTCTGTCAGAGTTGTCAGTCACTATTTTGTATTCCTCTTTTCAACTGGGCCATACATCTGATGGAGCCCATTCTGGGGTGATAATTAATCTTGTTAATGAAGTTCTGCTTGGATGGGGCTGAGGCTCTGATAGGGAAGATGTAAATTTTCTTGAGAGGAAATTGTTTTGTCTCTATTCTGAGGACCAATTAAAACGTCAAGCTTCTTTGTAGGGAATAAATTTTTAGTCTCTGTGTGCACTTCTGAATAATTCACATTAAGTATAATTAAGCTCAGCATAATTTCCAAGCTGCTCTCGCACCCTCTCCTGCACTCCGGATTAAAGTTCTGCAGTACCTCAGAGAAGCAACATAAATCATGTGTGCTTGTCCTCCGCCATGAGCTTCCTGCAATTAATAAAAACAAAGTGAGGGCAACTCTTTTAGGGCATCACTATTGTTCATTCCAAAGCCAGATAGCTTTCATTCCTTGAATCAGATGCTGGGTGGACTTGGAGTATTTTATCCTCTTCCCACTCTTTTGCTAACAGCTTGACTTGTGTAGAGAAACAGGGATGGTTGTACACAAAGGAAAATGGGGATAAGTGAGAGTTATCCATCAACTCACAGGGAGATGTGAATTTGCTAATATCATGATTCATAGAGTGAACAATTAAGATTCCATTATTTTTTCACTATGAGTGACTAGTGGGATGTTAGATGCGAAAAAATAATTTTTAAGATGAGAAAAAATAATATTTATGAGTTTTATTGGGGGGGATGTTAATTCTTTAAAGAAAGGCAAATTTGGAAATACTCACCACTGGTTATAGTCTGTGTTGCTTATTTGTTGGTTCAGAGCCTATAATGTGTCTTCTGTTTTGGATATCGACTGTCAGCACAACCTACTTGCAAGTATCAGGTCTCATAAAGTCCTGTCTTGTAGACTGGGGGAAACATCATTTTCAACAAGAATATATATATTTTTTTTTACTTTTGCCAAACAAGTTTTGTTCAGTGGATAGAGCATTGGCCTGCGGACTGAAAGGTCCCAGGTTTGATTCTGGTCAAGGGCATGTACTTTGGTTGCGGGCACATCCCCAGTAGGGGGTGTGCAGGAGGCAGCTGATCGATGTTTCTAACTCTCTTATCCCTCTCTCTTCCTCTCTGTAAAAAAATCAATAAAATATATATATTTTTTTTTAAATTGTAAGCATCTGTGGTTGGTAAGGCTCACTGCCTGCATAAGTGGTATTTTAGTTAATGATCCTCTATTCAGGCTTAGTTCCAGTCCTTATGACATGCCCCTGCTGTGGGGACATGGTGTGGGAGGAACAGCAGTGATGCCATGCCCAGCAATGCCCACTCAGGGTAAGTTAGTTTTCCCATCCATCACCTCTCTGCACCTGCTTGCTTCCACTCAAAATATTTTCCTAAGATTAATATCTACTAAATAGTCATTTTTGTAAAACTACAAATGATGAGTAATTAACAGTTAGCATATATTTGCTTAGCTAAAGTAAATATTAGTGCTGGCCAAATCCAATGCTGGAATCATTTATTAACTAACAAAAGTGAGGATTTTTATTTGTGATTAAAAATAACTAAAACAACCTCTCATAGCTTTTTAAACTTAATGAATTTGGAACTTCCACAGGCAGTTAGCCCCTAATTTTTGAAATTATATTTAGACAGAGAGAAATGTTTAAAGTTAAAATTTTATTTAGAGAGAGAGAAATGTTCAAACCAGAGAAAATGTTACATTCATAGCTACTTGGGCGATGGAGTGCTCAAGCTTCTCCATTAATGGATTTCCAGTTGTTTCTTGGTTCCTTTTCATAGTCTCAGTTCCGTTAAATTGTTTTTGCTGTGTGTTTTTTTCAATTAACTCTTTTTAAATATTATTTTAAGATACCAAAACATATTTTATAACTGAATTTTTTTCTTGTAAAAGAAAGGAGAATAAATTATTTCCCACATGCCCTCTGTATTTTACTCAGATTTTCAAATTGACAGTGAAATCAGGTCAATTATCAGGAACAAAGGAATTCCCCAAGATTATTGTCTTTTAATACAGCCCAGCAATTGTTCTTTTTCTTCATCTAACATTACTTAGGAAGATTCTGTCACTTACCATATACTATGTGGTACCTTATTCAATCGCAGCTGGTATACAGTTGGTCAAATTGATAGGATCTAAATTTTACGTCAAACTCAAATCACTTGTAAGTTGATGTCATTGGACTGATATAATTTAGTGGTGATAAGAAATATTTTTACATTCTTACAAAGAAGACATATAAAATAGCATATAAAGAGCTATTTCTAAACAAAATTAGTCTTCTGGGTTGATGACCAAGTGCGTGAAAAAATAGCCCAGAGTAAAGATTCCTCTAAGATTGAAGAAAACAGTAGGAAGAGACTGGCTCAGCACCTGGCAAATCAGTCATTATGCTTTACTGTGCTCACTGGTAGACCAATTTGCCCCTTCCCTCAGTGAAATGGTCCCATTTTGTGTTACATTTATGACACGTGCTGAATTTCTGTGGAGAGAAAACTCCCTCTGAGAAAAAATTTAGCACTCTGGGTCAAAGTTAACTCAGGATGAACCCTAAATATACTTGATCTTATATGAGAAAAAAAGTGAGAATTGTTTGAATGGTTTTAAAATAGTAGGCTCTGGTCACAGTAACTTTTTCTTGTATTTGAAAATCTGCCTGAAGAACTTTACTGTGAAAAGGAAAAGTCAGTTATATTCTAATCATTTGTGGATTGGGGAGAGAGCATTTCTTCTGAGTGATGGTAATAACAGTATTAAAATGATAGACTTCACATGGAACTCTTTTTCCCTTTCTGTAATTGTAAATTGGTGTTATCTAGCATTTATTTGCTAAACAAATCCTCTAATCTCAAGCTACTCTATAATTTCTCCTTTTTGTAGCCCTTATCTCTTGTTCCATGTCTTAATTACTTTTTTTTTCTGGTGTCTCCCAGGCATCTGTGGCCAAAGTAATTATGAGATTTTAGAGATTAAGCAACTTAATTTTTCAGAGGGTCAGGTAGGGCAGGGAAATTGTATGACCTATGTGAAATAGAGGAAAAGGGTATAGAAATGTTCCACTTTAGGTTTTTATTTTTTTCCATATTTTGGTAAAACCCCTGTCAATTTGTTTGGGTCTATATGTGCATATATAAAATTAAAATGAACCCTTTTGAAGCTCTTATTATCACTCCCTGTTCTAAGAGCATACCACCAATTGGCTCAGATCCTCATATCAATACTGTTAAATCCTATTCCTGTCTCCTCTCTGTTTTGGCAATGAAGAAGCGGAAGCTCTGAGAGGTAAAGTGACTCTCCTATAAACACACAGCTAACAGGCAGTGTGACTATGATTCTCACTGGGACAATCATGTTCCAAAAACCCTGTTTTTAACCACCAAGTATAGTCATCACATGTATGCTACATGCATACATGAACACACATGCTTTTAACATATATCTGTAAAGTTTGGATATTTCCCCAATATTGGCCTTCCTTTTCCCAGCTCTGTGAATCATCTCAAACAAAGGCAAAGAGCTTTCAGTCTAGGTCAAAGTTAGCTTCACGTTGCTCGTGGGAAGTCTCAGCACTGAGTATATATGATCCTGACAGCTCTTTTCTCAGGTCACAGTGGTCGACAAACTCATTAGTCAACAGAGCCAACTATCAACAGTACAACGATTGGAATTTCTTTGGAGAGCCACATTTTTTAAACTTAAACTTCTTCTAATGCCATGTCTTCAAAATAGACTCTCCCAGGCCATGGTATTTTGTGGAAGAGCCACACTCAAGGGGCCAAAAAGCCACATGTGGCTCGCAATCTGCAGTTTTCCAACCACAGTCTCAGGAAACCCAGGAACATCAGTTTGAGAGACTAATGTAAAATACCAAGCGCTGGGTGAGTTAAACCACAGAAGTGGGTTTTCTCCCAGTTCTGGAAGCAGGAGGCCTTGCATCGAGGTCTGGAGTGAGGGCTCTCCTCCTGGATAGGAGACACCTCCCTCAATGAGGCCTCAAGTGGCAGACAGAGGACAAGCTCTTTCAAATCTCCCCCCTTTAAAAAAAAAATCTTTATTGTTGAAAGTATTACATATTATGTCCCCTTTTCCCATTGTCCTCTCCCATTCTGTCCCCGACCCCCTGACCTTCACCACACCCACAACCCTCCCCTATTGTCTGTGTCCATTAGTTATGCTTATATGCATACAAGTTCTTTGGTTGATCTCTTTCCCCCTCACTGACCCTCTCTGTCCAAATCCTCAGATCTCCTCTTATATGGATCCAGATCCTGTTGGGTCAGAGCTCCATCCTTATGACCTCATTTAACATCAATTATTTCCATAAAGGCTCATATTTCCAAACATATGAATGTGGGGTTTGGGAGAGACCCAATTCAGTTCATAGCATCTACCTTCAAAAGGAAAGCCGATTGTCTTCGCAGACTTTCAGATGAGAAAGCAGAGGTTATGTTTTCCCCCAAATCACAAGAATATACTTGTAGACAGAGTTGGAACCCAAACATGTTTCTCTCTTACTCCCAGAGTTTATAGTTTTTCTATTGCAGACTTCTAAAAAAAAATTGGCTTTTTATTTTTCTACATTTAGCTTGAGCCTTTTTAGAGCTTCTCACAATTGTTTTTTAAAAATATTTTTGTTTGGAGGTTGTGGTGAAGATAGTCAGGAAATTTAACAAATTCTCAAAAATGATTATTAGATCAAACTTTTAATATTAAAATACTGTTTTATGTCCTTACATTTTGTTTACTCACAAATATCAGACTCCTGTTTGAAGTGTGCATGAGTGAAAGTTGGTAATTCTTAGCATGAGCATAAACATTTACAAGTCATGTATGTTTCTATGCCTGCCATGACATGGTATATTAAAGAGTCAGGAATTTTCATGACACAATCTGTAGCATTGCTGAGAGAATT